AAAAATCGTTTGTTGTTTGTTGTTTCGTTTGTTATGCATTCGAACGAAGGGGATTAAAAAAAGATAAAAAAAAATTTATAATTAAAAAAAAAAAGAAAACTTATGTTACGTTAATGACGAGAGTACATAACGTAAATTTTTTTTATTAAATTCAAATTGAAAAATAATTTATTTTTTCTTCACAAGTTATGAAATTAATTATGATTTATTTATTTATTTATTAATTAATAAAAAAAAAACGAGATCGTTAAAATCTTACATTTATTTTTTTTTTTTTACGATTAAAAAAAAAAGTGAAGAAAATAAAAAAATAAAATGTCGGCCAATGTCTATTTTTTGATAGTTTGCAACCGGTCGAAAGATTTTATTAAATTTTTTTGGTTTACTTTCGTAAAAATTATAAAAAAAAAAAAAAAATGAAAACTATGAGAAATACATAAAAAAACGGGGGGAGGGGTGAGGTGGGGGGGGAATAACATCGCGATTAAATAATTTTAATAATTTAAATAAATTATTAATTAAAAAAAAAAAAAATTCACGTGGGAATTAATAATTAAAAAAAAAACCGTACGGAGTTATATTATTATTATTATTATTATTTAAATTTTTACATAGAATCGTCGTCGTGATAATAATAATAATAACAATGATATCGTTGACGTCATTTCTTAAAATTATTGATCGGATATCGATTTGTTATAACGAAAAAAAAAAAAAAAATTTTTTTTTTGTAGAATTTGCCAGAAGCAATCGTTTGGTTTTTCATTTTTTTTTTTTTTTTTACGATTTCCGCGGGGGAGGGGGAAGGAGAAATACAAAAAATTTTTTGCGAAATTTAAAAAAAAAAAAAGGGATAGGGAGGGAGAGAGGGAGTAAGGGGTAGGACGAAGTGTTGCGGTCGAAAAATGTTTTCTTTTACATCAAAAACAAAACAAAAAAAAATTTCGAATTTATAATGAAACCCTTTGGCCATTTTCGTTTTTAAAAATTAACCAACGATATTATTATTATTATTGTTATTATTTATTTATTATTATTATTATTATTATTATTAAATAAAAGGGTTCGGAATATTAACATAAAAAAAAAAAAAAATTAAAAATCGTTAGCATTTAACCTTTTAACCTTTTTTAAAATGTAATATGCAGTGCGAAAATGATGATCGATCATCGATCGATCGATAATGATCAATAAAATGTAAATAAAATTACAAAACAATGGAAAACAATTTTATTTTGTTTACAAATAATTAAACTTTAATTTAATAATAATAATAATAATGGAGGAGGAGAAGGAATGACGATGACCGCGTAATGCGAAATTAAGAATTTTTTTTTTTTCTCTTGGGAAAAACTCGTTCGAATCGATTTTTATAATAAAGAAAAGAATTTGTGAAAAGGAAAAGTTTTGTAGAACGTAACAAACAACAACAACAACAAACAACAAACAACAACAAAATTGCGATCGTATGACGATTGTTGACGATATTATGTAAAAAAAAAAAAAAAAAAAAAACTCGATCGACACACCCACACACGTGAAAATGCATTTTAAAAGGGAAAATAATTATCGATAGGGAAAATTCGGAGAGGGGGAGGGAGGGGTGAGGGAGGGGAGAGGAGGGATAGAGTAATAAAATTACGCTACTCGTTTTTTTTTAAAAATAAACTTAATATCGTGTGTGTGTGTGAACTGTAACAAATTCGATCGTGTGGACCGTAAATAAAAACAGAAAAAAAAAAGAAAATCAGGTTTTTAAGAAATCCCCCTTTTTTCAAGAGCCGGTGTCTTGACCTCTTGTACTTGTGGGGTTATCGATGCACGACGATGAAGTAAATAAAAATAAAATAAAAAAAATCTAATTTCATAATGTTTACACCGATTAGCAAAAGATTGATCCAATCGAAATATGCGTATGCTCGCACTCACACGCACACACAAGCACACATTCCTGTCACACAACTTTCTAAGTGTGTGTGTGTATATTTTAAGCAATTCTCATAGGTGAGAATCCCGGTAATAAAAATTTATTACTCTATGTGTGTGCGCAGGGGTACCAACCGTAAACTCCCCGCGAAAAAAAATATTAATTTTTTCTTTCTATTTATTATAAGTTATTTTTATAAGTTATTTGGTGTGGACGACACGCGGAAAACTTTTTTTACACGTTTGATGATGACGTAACGCCGAATTTTCTTTCCTTTTCTTTCCGACGATCATACGTGTGTGACACACATAGGGGTGGTTTAAACCTTGTCTTCCGGGGATGATATTCTCTCTCATTGTACCCTGTGACGTAACATTTTTTTTTTTGGCAATCCGAAAATAATAATAATGATAATTAATGCGATGATTAGGTGGTGGTGGTGGTATGTAATCGTGATGTGGCATCGATAAATTAAAAAAAAATTTTTTTCTCTCTTTTTCTATAGTCACGATAAAAACATTTCGATTCGTCACGTTAAAATTTTTTCGAAACGAGGAAAAACTTTTTTGACAAAATCAAACCAACGACTCCATTTCTAACATATTAATAATAATGATAATGATAATAATAACAAGTCGTTAAAACTGGAACAACGCGATTTAAAAAAAAAAAAAATTTGAAAGTAGATTTTATGAAAAAAAATTTTTTTTTCGAGAGAGTGGGCGTAATGATTAAATTATAATCACGTGATAATTGATTAAAATGATTTTTAATTTGTTTAAATATCGCGTGCTAATTAATATAAAACAATTATTATTATTATTATTATTTTAAACAAAAAAGAAATAAATAAATTGGAAAAATATTAATATCCGGGTCCCAATGTCATTATTATTATTATTATTGTGAATAATTTTGTAAATTGCACACATATTTATTATTATTATTATTATTATTATTATTTATTTATTTATTTATTTATTTATTTCGTAATAACGAGACGTCGAAGTGTTTGGCTCATGTATTTCCGCTAAGATAATAATAATAAAAATTTCTTTTTTTTTTTTTTGGTTGTTTATTACATCGCTGTCGGTTGTAAAATTTTAAAGGTTGATGTTGGTTTCCGGTTTATTCTTTTTCGTTTCGTTTTGTTTTTTTTTTAAGGGGAGGGGGTAGGGGGGTATCAGGTACGAAAAGAAAAAGTTTTCGGGTTGGTTCCCCTTAAAAAAAAAAAAAAAACCCCAAACCGGAAAGGGAAGAATAAGTTTATGTTAAATATTAACGAATCGTTTATTTTATTTAAGAGAAACTTTT